AATATCTGCGGGCAATGTTCTACTTTTTTCTTTATATTTTTATCCTTGTCATATACGCTTTCATATACTACACAATATTATATAGGTAATGCATATTATTTTTGAATTGCATACAAATTTGTAATGTATATGACAATGAATGTTGAATATATTTAAGATTATGTTGTTATTATTATTATTTTGTGTATACATGTATGTACAATATAAATATACAATCATATATAAATTTATGATTATGTACAAAGGCAAGGATACTGTTATTGGTTAAATAATCCAAATAACTATACGAATAAAAAATTGAAAAATAATTTCTAATATATTTAATAAAAAAATTGGTATATGTAAATCTTGCCGTATATCTGCATTACATTTTTTTAAGATTTAGAAATAAAAATTTTTAATTTACATTAAAATTTATCTAAAATCCTATATAATATATATATATGTATAAAATATTCTAAAATAAATTGTGAGTGAATGATGAGGATTAAATCAAATTATATTAATTGGTATAACTATACAAAAATTCGATCAAAGGTTAAAAATTTTATAGCAATGCTATAAACGAACATGTACCCAAAAACGTAATTTATAAAATCCAACTGCAATTTATAACACTCAAATTATAATATCCAAAAATTATTTAGCTATAATTAAGAACATAAAGTAATTGATTTTAAAAAAAATAAGTCAGCTTGTTCAAGAACCACCATAAAGGAATAAATATATGGGTATAGAGTACTATAGACAGGGAACCACATACTATATAAATTATATAGTTATTGAATTTGGGATAAGTCACAGCACACCTCTTCTAGGGCTCTCGCAATCTTCTCAAAGTATGTCTCCTTGTCGAAACCAAAGCGTGGATTTCGCAGTTGGCATGACCCACATGCTTCTTCATCTTGATATCATAGCATTCCTGACAAATATTTGTGAATATTCAATAGGTGACGAAGGCACGCAGTAGATTTTTTAGTTTGCATTTTAAGTAATTGATATTCTATTGAAAAATATTATATTTTCAAATAATTTAAACTATTTAAAATAATAAATTCAATAATAATCACTGGCTTTATTATTATTGTCCTAATAGAACTCTACTACCATGTTTTTTTTAGTATATTAACATTTGAACCCTGATTGTACATTGTGGATTTCCAAAAAGAGATATGAGCAGGGAATCATCTCCCTCGTGGTAACTGCAACCAGCTATGGATTGTTTTAACCCCTTCTTATTCCCATATTTCTTTTCCTATATTTTATAAATTCAAAAAATCAAAAATTTTTTCCAAACAAATTATTTTAACCCATATATTTTTTTTACTACCATATTAATTCTTAGTACATCCATATAGGTACAATGTGCACGATTTACATGGATATAAAAAAATATTTGTTTAACTGTGCGCCAATATTATTCACCCTATCTGTTATAATTCTTAATGTATGTAGCTATATACTCTTAATATTATAGAAAAAAATTTTTTTTAAAGTCTAAACTTGAAACATATGTTCATTTTTCTTATTTATATGTATGTTATGAGTGCAGCTATTTAAAATATGCAACTGAATAACTAAATACTATAAGTTTTACCTATATTTTCTTTTGCAATACCTTGCATTATAAGCACACATATAATGTGCATACTTCTATATATACATGTGAACGAATATACATAAAAATGCCACTGAATAAAGATAACTTAAGGGAAAAATTATGCAATATAATAATTTAGACTAGAGAGACCTTTTCAGATTTCTTTTTATTTTTTGATTTTTTTTTTTCATTTTTGCTTTCTTTCGTATTTTGCTATAGAATAAATTTATCCTTACTTTGAAGGCTATACCCCTACGAATTCATTTTTATTTTTATTTTTTTTTTTTGTTATTATTAGTTTGTTGTACATACATATTATGCAGATATGAATATGCAAGTTTAGGGCTCTGGTATTACGTATATACGTGCATATGCATATTTATGTATTATATATTTTTTTTATGTAATTTGTGAGAATATCAAATTATTTTGATAAAATATATTGTGTGAGCCGAATATGTATGTGTATGACATAAAACTCGTTAAATTTTTTAGTAATATATAATTATAATTAATTTTAATTTTGCATACTTTTAGGGGCACACCTTAAATAATATCATGATTTTGCTATGATTACAGTTGAAGTTTTGAATTTAAAATATTTGTATATTGAAAATAAAAGATTTGTCAATTTACAACAAAGTTTTGGCGGCGTAAACTTGGTCTTCCTAAATATTTATGATCAGGAATAGAGTTTCTACTTCACATGAAATAAACATATGTAATTGGTTGGTAACATGTAATTATAAATTAAGTAAAGGTTAAGAAAAAGTAGTTGGAAATTTTTTTTTTTCAAAGAATATTGAATTTCCCCCAAAATAAGTATTTCGCATACTAAATATAATTTTCGGATTACATTTGCTGTGTTAAGGAGAGATTTTGTTTGCTCTAGAATGAGAGTTTTCATTAAATTAAGAAAAATGTAAATATTTAATCCTCCTCAGAAGTAAATAAAAAGCTGATTCTTCCTCTATATATAATATTTTATCAATTGGCATTTGGATTAACGGTAAATTTTACCAATTCATATTTCTTTCAATTTTTCACTACATTATCGCAGATACCGACACATTTTTTAAATGCAATACCAATTCAACCAATACCTACCTACCTACACACACCAATTAAAAAAAAAAACCCAAAAATTCTTGAAAAAAAAATATCCTTGATAATATTTCATAAATTTTTATCAACAAAAACACAGCCATACACACACACATTTATTATATTTAAATTTTATTTTTATTAAATTTATATGCATTTATTTAAAAAAAAAAGAAGAAAAAAATGTTGGCATTGTAAAATGCAAAAATGTCCTTTTTCGAATAAAAAAAAAAAAACAAAATATAAAAAAAACATAATATTTTAAATAACTGTATTTATTATGGAATAATAATTTCAATTTTTTTTTCGTCCTTTTTAATAATTGGTTTAGAATTATTTGTATAGCAAATTTTTTGTCACACAGAAAAATTCTGCATGGTATTTTATATAGCGAGAGTTAAAAAGGGAAGGCAAATTCAAGAATTGTATGTATTGGATAAAAAGAATAAGATGCTGAAATTCAGAAGAATGCAATATTTTTTATACATATACGGTTGTATGTATAGGTGAGTGTGTTTTATATTTTAAAAAAATATGATATTTATATTATAATTTTTTTGCCTTTCCTTTTTCAAATCTTACTCAAATAATTTTTAAAGCAAAATATTTTAATACAATGACTTTAGCTACATAGCTGTTTGAACCAAAAAAAAAATAATAATAAACGTGTAGTTTTATGAAGGACATTTTTTTGTACTCCGTGCAGAACAGTAAAATGCATGTATGTATGCAGAATATATTATATTTGTTATATAATATTATTATGTCTACATTTTATATGTATATACAAAATATGTATTATAATGAAATTTGAAAGCTGCTTATAATGAAATTTTTTAGGGTGAGGGGGGGGGGGGGGGGGGCAGGGGGAATATGTAGTTAATGCTGAATTATAATGGATGCCTTATTGTTCTCAGTTTGGCTCAATACATCGCTTAAATTATTCCCAGCAATTTATTTCTTATTTTTTAACTCAAATAATAGAATTAAAAGTAGATAAGCAAGCTTATAATGAATTAACACTAAATATGTCGTGTAATTACAATAACTAAATGAAATGTGGCATAAATTTTATTGAAAAATAATCAAAAGGCTTGTCAGTTTGGAAGGTGTAACGAAAAAAAAACAAATTTTCAATCTTTTGCAAAGCAAAGAAAAAAAATACTTGTATTAAGAGTCAAAACATGTGATAACCAGGTAATTGGGACGTTGTTGAACCCCATTGTTGTAAAGTCTTTGGTGAAAATTTATTCCGGAAGTATTTTCTCAAATCACTTCTCTGTCATAGATCCAGAAATGAAGGGATTCCGAAAAAAATATTTAAAATTTTAGTAAGTTTAAGAAGACATTTATTAAATGGTCATTTGTGGTTAAAATAGGAGTTTTTAAGGCTCCCGAAAATCTTAAAAATTAAGTCTTATCTTAAAGTCTATGTGGAGTACAGAAAGACAAAGATTTCAATTCGTCCGAAAAATTTATTAGAACAATTTGTTAGCACAAATAAATTACAAAAAATGCCAGAAACAGAATATATTTTCGCTAAGAGTATAACCGTTTGATAAAATATCTATAAATCTAAGAAAGCTCGTGCTACAACATAGACTTTTCACTATATTTGCAATTTAATATAAATGAAAATTATTACTACACCCCTAGACCAACTCTTAGTATTAAAAAATTTTTTACATTTGCTCTGCCTATTCCTGCATATTGAATTTTATACAATTTTTTTTGGAAAAACCTTCTCCAAATTCACTCATAGTCGCAGCTAAAAGCAGAATTTCCAATTTTTTCCATACAAAAAATAAATTTTAAAAACTTAAAAAATAATTGTAAACTCCAAGTATATTTTTTATTAAGTACCTTTTAGAAATTATAAAAAAAAAATTTTTATTAAATCTGTATAACAAAAAATAAATTAATAATCACTTAAAAATCTACAGTACCTATACAAAAACAAAATCTATCACCAATATTGTTGAAAATTTTAAATAAAGTTTTCAATTTCCTTTATACACTTGTATAAATTTTAATATTTTCGTTATTACCAACTTTTATCAAGGTTTTCCTCTCTTTTTTTTTTAATAATAAATTTTTAATTAAATTTTTTTTTTAATTATATGTGTTATATAATTCTCTATATATAAATATTTATAAAAATAAAAATACCTATATGCATTTAAAAATAAAAATTACATAATATTTTTATTTTTAATTTATAATTCAATTTAAATGCATTCAATTATAATATTTTTTATATATGTGTATAACACTTATATTTAAATATAACACTTACCTGACATGGTGCTTGAAATAGGTATGCATCACCGAATGCTGTACTTAAACAAAATATATAATCACGTTTTGGATGCTCTGGTATTGGTTGCATAATAGCACCATCAACAATAATTAAATGTTTTGGTGCTGCTTCAACAGATCTACCTTCACGTGAATCGCATGGATAAAATAATAATGTTGTACCTTTTAAACATACCCAATAACCTTTCCAGCCACGTTTTCTAGCCAATTCAATTTGATGTTTTTTACGCAATAACCATTTTTTAACTGATAAAAATCTGGAACACAAGAAACAAAAAAAAAAAAAAATAATAGAAAATTTAAAATATACAATAAGTTATATAACAAAAATTTTAATAATATATGTAAATTATATAATTTTTATAATATTATAGAAGTAAAAGTGTAAATACTAAAGTAAAGTAAATAAAAATGTTAAATGAAAGGAAGAAACTAAAAAAAAAATGTATGAATCCTTTTCATTTTATAAACAGGTTGCAGGATACAAACAGGTGGAGAATATTAAAACAAAACAAACACAAAAATGAATAAATAAAACAAAAGTTTATAATAATTTTTCAAAAAGGAAAAGTTAAAAAATATATTTAATTTTTTTTTTCTTGTTTTTACTCTTGCAGTAAATAAATGTTATACTTTATGATATTTAAGGAGAGACTGTGTTAAAAAATATAAAATAAAAAACAAAAACTTAGAAAGTTGTTTAAAATATAAGAATTTTGAGATCTAAAAAAAAGATATTAAAAGAGTTGTAGGTAAGTATAAAGATGCCTCCAGATGAAATCCGTGCCATGTTTTAAATAGAAATAGATAGTAGAATTTACAAACAATATCGAGACAGACGTGGTTTTTATATTCCGATAATGGACAAAATACGACTACCAGAAAAATGAATTTCATAAAGGATTCCTTAGAATATGGAATGGACATCTTCACTTTCTAGGCCAAGCCTTCTAATGTGAGCCTTATTATTTTCCCGAACCGTCCCTGGTCATAATTTCCAAGAAGCTCCTTAGCCTGTCGAAGCCCTGGAAGATCCCCCCAGAGCTCTGAACGCCATCTTCCCATATCTTTCATTAATTTTCCTCGAATCATGTGTGGTCGAATTTCGCAAAAGGGCTCTTGCCCAAGAAGAGGTGTGTTTGCGCCCCTCTCGTGAAAGCGTCGATATTGAAAAGATCAAACTCTTATTCAAAGGAAGCCACTTAAACTCCATATCATTCAATGCAAATTCATTTTAAAAACGGTCATATTCAATTCTTTTTATGTTCTTTTTAATATCTAGGGTACTAGTTATACGCACAATAAGGGTAATAATTTGTCTCAGCAATTATATCTCATCAACTGAATATCAGCTGATATCTAACTATTAATTTATTATTAATAAATGTATATAAACTATCTCACTCTTATATGAATTTTTAAGTGATTCCCTTCTCTATAACCTTTTTTACAGATGTAATTTTTACTCTGCGAGCGACTCTGATCTGCCGAACTGTATAAATGTATAATAATATATAACAGTATTCTAAAATCACTATAATTATAATGAGATGATTTTAGGAGAATGAAAAGAGAAGTATAAAAATAAAATAAGAGGGAAAAAAGATAATAGAGTTTTCATGATGTAAAAGAGCGAAAACATTTAAATACGAGTATACTAACTAAAAGGTCTTAATAAAAATCTTATAATAATACTGTGCAGAAAATTAATAGGGAACTTTTTAAAAGGGGCAAAAATGAAAAATAAAAGAAGAGAAAAAATAAAATGAATTCAAAGGAGATACGGGAATTGTTCTCGATTTATATGAGCGTAAATTATTGTACTTCCTTTTCTTTTTCTGTTTTGTTTAATAAAGTCCAAAAGTTAATTTAAATAAGTCAGTAAAATTTCTTTTTTTCAAAAAACATAACCAAAATATATGTAAGGAAAAAATAACATTGAATAAAGAAAAATAATAATAAAAATAAAATGAAAAGGAAAACAAAAAAAAATGATTAAGTTTTATAATAAGAAATGAAAGTTACGATTTTCCCGTTTTTCCATTTTCCTTTTACAGGATATATGGAATATGCATGTATGTATACTTATAATATTTTGTACATAACATAAACTATATTGTATAATATTTATAACTAGATTTGATTTTTTGAAAAATCATAAAGAAGATGGTTAAATTCAAGAGCAAAAAGTTTAATTAAATAAAATGTTTTTGAAAAATTTTTGTATTCAAATTAATTCTTATGCTTAATATATGCAACTCATTAGTGTATGAATTAGTCGAGCTCTTAATTCATACAAGTTTCTTACATTTAAGAATTCTCTATTAAAAATTTTTTTCATGAATATTTATGATGACTTGTGTTATGAAAGTTACTATTTGATTTAAGTTTCAGTTAATTAACATGGTGTGAAATGGAAAAAAATCTATGGCTTTGAAGCTATAAATAATTTGAGTTTTAGAGTAGATATTTTGATATAATAGTGAACTCAATATATTAATTGTGGTAAACAGTAAATTTGATTAAGAAATTTTTTATATTTCATTTGAATTATACTAAAACATTTCAATTGTATTTTGGATTTCAAAAAATTAAATTACTCAAATAATCTAGAACTAACAGGAGTAATATTTTGTTTTTCTGATTACGACTAGAATTTTAATTTTAATCATAAAATTCTCAAGTATTTGAGAAAATTTAATGGAGATATTAAGAACGATCTCTCATAATAAATGAAAATATTTTTTAATATTCTCAATTACAAAAAATCAAAGCAAAACATTTTCTCTTCCTTGAATGTTTCTTTACAAGACAGCATTAACGCTCTGCCTAACAATAAAATTAATAATATTTTTATTGAACAAAATTATTAACAGAATTGAAAGCATTTTGCTGGGGCTTAATTTGATACTACACATGTTCAAAAATTTCTGAGAGAATTTCCTCTGTAAATTGAAAACTGATCAAAACCTCTTTATAATATTGTAAAGAAAATCTTAGCAATCATGTTTAAGACGCTCACGATATTTATTTAATTTCTTGGTTATTAATTTTGGATTTAAATGAAATTGAAGAAATTTTTGTTATTGCCTTTAATACACAAATTGTTGAATATACCCGTACGGGGATATTTTTAGTATTTTTATATAAAAATGAAGAACACAAATTTTCCCAAAAATCCTTTAAAAAAACTTTTGTTTTAAAACCAAGAGAACTCGATTTTTTAATACCAAAGTAAATTTATAAAATAAAAATTAAAACGAAAAAAAATTTAAAACATTTTAAAAACGAAGAGGGTGTGCTTTATTTGCTAATTGAGGGTCTTAAAGGTTCACAACACAACAACAATAATATTAAACAAAGAGAACAAAACAAAATTTTAAAGTAGAAATATTATTTTTGTGATGGTGGAATACGTAAGGTCCTTAAAGTAGAAATATTTTTTATGATGCTGGAATACGTAAGGTCCTTTTCGGTATTTAGTTTTTATAAATTTAATATTATTATAATTTTTGGTTGTGTAGTTGTGTATAATTGTTAATATTTTCTTAGCTATTTTCTCTCTCTATATACAAGAGGTGTTAAGTTTCTGCTTTATTTTTCCAAATATCCTGTACAAAAAGGATAAAATGGTGAAAAGACAAGAAAATTATGAAAAAAAAAACATTGTTTTCTTTTTGTTTTTCAAAGGATTTTTGTTTTTTTTTTATTATTATATTTAAGATATCAAAAGGCGCGTAAAAAATATATTTATAAGGATTAAAGGGATAAAAAAAAAATAAGACGAACAGGAAAAAAAACAGGCAAAAAAAAAGAAGATTACTTATACTTTTATAGTTATTATTGTTATTTTTTTCGTTATTCTTCTTGTTTTATGGAAATTGAAAATTTTTAATTAAACAAGAATGAAAATTTAAAATAAAAAAGAAGAAAAATGAGAAAAAAATAAAGTAAAATTGTGAGAAATAAAGAGAATTTTCTTGTTATTTTTGTTATTATTATCCTTCTTGTTTAGAAAGGATTTTATTCTGTTATTTGTTTCTTTTGCTTTGTGAAAAATTTTTTGTTAAGAAAACGTCATTTACATACAAACACACATATAAATTAAAATATTTATTTTAACCCAATTTAATTGCTGATTTTGAATTTTGTTTTTGTTTATTTTTTGGTTTTTCTTGTGTTTTTCCTTTATTATTTTCTCTATTTGTTTAAAAAAAAAAATTTTTTTTTTGATAGCTAGAAATCGGGAGCGAAGGATAATTTGTATGGCAATATATTATTATTTTTTTTCTTGTTTTGTTTTCTTTTTCTTATGAATGAAATTTAATAATTTTTTTTTGCCTTTGATTTTATCATAAGAATAGTATGATATACAGTAATGTTAAATAATTACGAATGAGGAATTGTGATGTTATAGAGACAGTTTATGTATTGTGAAAGAAGAGTTTAGGGTTCGATTCTTCTGAGCATGATAGTTGTGAGACATTTTGGAGGGAGGCGTTTTTATTTAAGAGACTGAACTTTTGTGTGATCATTTGAAACGGACTTTGCCAAAGCACAAAATTCATTATTGAATTCAATTACAAGCAGTTTCATAAATATTCCAGATCTTCTTCAAGATTCCATGTTATAACATGGATTAATTATTTTTTTACTTAGATTATTAATTATAGTTTGCTTAGAAGTTTTTGGTTGTATTCTGAGGAAATTTTTCCATGGCACATGTTGGAAAGCAAAAATTTCTTCATTTTTTCAAATTGCCGAATTATGTTAAATTTGACGCAAAGCACTGAGTTTTAATAAAAGAAATATCAAATGAAAATTACTTAAAATTTTTAGGGTGTTTTCGAAGAAGTTAATTAAAATATTGTGAGTAAAATTGTTTTAATTGCTTTGAATTGTTCAATTTAATTTCCAATTTTGGTCAGATAACATTAATAAATGCATTTTGCATATTTTTAGTTGCTCTAGTAGTCCTAGGGGATATCAACTAAATTTTTCATATAAAAAAAAAATTTTGATAATGTAAAATTTTCATATTCCACCACTGTATATTATAAATTATATTCAAAATAATTGTAAGTAACGAGTTTTAATAAGGAACTAAAAAGAAAATTAATTAATTTATTTAATTTAAGATTTTTCTTTTTTTTTTTTGTTTCATCTTTCATTTTTTTTAAACATTGCGAATATACGCATGCATAAATATTATGTAAGAAGAAAGTTTTATATTGTCCTTTCAATTTAAAAAATCTTTTAAAATTAAAAAAAAAAAATTTTTTTTTATTTAATTAAATTTTTTATTTCATAAATAACAAAAAGAGCAACATTAATTTATTATTCTGGAAGAGGGGAAAGGTTTTAGATTTTTTTCATGTTATGTAATTATGAAAAAAGCAAAATTATACGTGGAAAGCACAAGTGTACAAAAGACATTATCGCAAGCATTGTGATCATGCTCCTGCCATAACTATTACAAGTACACAAGTGTATTTAAAAGATAGAGTATGAAAATAATTAAATTTAATTAAAAATGAGCTTCTAATCACTTGTGTAGAATGATGAATTATTGTGGTTTTTTAAAAAACAAAATTTTAAATATCAGAGTATAGTCCTTAAATCTTGGCATTTTTAAAAATTGTTAATGAAATTTTTTTTTAATTTTAATTTAAGAGCAAAAAAATTTTCAAGATTCTGGTAGATAATTTGTGTATAAGGCATTTTAGCGAAGAAAATTCGATTTTCTTTTAGCGGAAATGAGCAATATTGTTAATAAGAATTTTTAATAACAAATCTCTTGAAGGGTATACAATAATACAAATAAATATCTTCTGTAAATTGAATTGTAATTTTTGTTGTGGTATATATAGGATCTATATTAAATTTTCTTTTAAATTTAATATAAAATTCATTAAATTTTTTGAAATTTAAAAAAATCCAAAATTATAATTATGTTTTTTCGCAAAAATGTCACAATAAATTGGACTGGTAATTACGAAGAAATTATATATGTATATGAAATAACTTACCCAGCTTTACGTACAGCACCAGTACAATTAAATGATGATGCAGCTGTTCCGGTTGCTTTTGCTTTATATGGTGACGCCATGACACTTTCCCCGTCATCTTCGTCAGAGACGGCAGTCGTTAAACTCATTCGATCATCATCAGATATCTGTAAATAAATTCCAACAAAACAAAAAAAATTAATTAATATTTAAAATTTAATTAATATTATTTTTTGTTTACAGATTTTATTTAAAAATTAATTCAATTTAATCAGGAAATTATAATATATTATATTAATAAATGAGAGAAAAATATAATAATAGAGAAGAATATTATGTTGGTAGTGTAATATATATGGGAAATTTCTCAAAAATTGATTATTTCAAGTATGATAAAAACATCATCAAAAACTGGTAAAATGAGTAAGAATATTTTGGAAAAAAATTGAGTAAGCAATAAGTATTAACAGTAACACTATTATGAAAAACTCAAAACTACATAATATTTTAAATTTATCATTTTTGTTAAAAGTGAAAAGACTATGGAGAAAATTATAAGAATGCTCTCACAATATTACAGAGAATTAATGGTCAAAGTAATTTTATTCCAATTTTTTTTTTTTAGAGAGAGAAAATTAATTTCAAAAATTCAACGGTAGTCGGTAATTTTATGTGATGAAAGTAGTTATTGAGATTAATTGAATTTTATTGTAATAAAAAATAAATGGCTACCCTTTTGATTTACAAATTGTGAAATGATTTATTTCTGGAAAATATTATAATTTTAAAATGTTAACGAAAAATATTCAATATGAAAATATTTAATTTTTGAGTTTAAAGATTTTTTAATAATTTTTCTCTTTAATATTAAATTTGTAAGAAAATATGCCTTTCGAATATAAGCATATGTTTTGCATCAGAAACATTAAATAAAAATAAGTGAAAAAAAAACAGTGGAAAATTAATTTTTTTTTTTTAATTATAAGGATATCTAAAATGAATATAAAAGATCCTTGAATAAAATAGGCTTAAAAAATTCTTTTTTTTTTTTTATTACTTTAATAAAGATTAATTTTTTTTTTCTTTTTCATTTTAATTCTTATACAATTACTTAGAACATTATCTACATTATTATATACATGAATTAATTTTTTTTTTACATTTTTATAAAGTAAATTTTTCTATATAGTATATGCGTACATATATATGTATGTATGTAACATGTATGGATTACATTATATGAAATTTAAGTAAAAGCATATGCATTTATTTTCAACAATTAAAGGATTAGTGTATAAGAAGTGAATTAATTAATACTATATATAATAATGTTAATTGCTATCATGTATACATTATACTTATATATAATATATTTGTAATGTATATAATATAATAATAATCATATGATATTATATACAATAACCATATTTTTTAAAATAAAAAAAATAAAACGAAAAGAGTTTTAAAGGAAAAAGTTTTATAAAATTCTTTAGGCACATTATATTATAATGCATTATATGTAATTATTTTTAAATGTATATTTACATTTATTATATGTTACTCACTATATGTAATCTTCTATAGAAAAATGAAGTTACATATAAATAAATTTAACCCTTTCCGTACAGCTGACAGGAATGTTTACCATAACTTTTTGAAATTTAAGTCAAATCAAATATGAAGTGAATTCCCCATTTAATAAACAGCTGTAAAGGCAAGTTGCCTTGAAATCATAAAAGTTGTATAGTGTATATCTTGAAGAGGTTGAACATTACTCATTTTTATCAATAATAAAATAAATAATATTAAAATAAAGTATTTCAAGAGTGCAAAATAATATATGAACGTCGTTTATTATTGGTAAATATTTTTTTTTTTATATTCCAGTTAGGGCAATTATAAAAATTACTGTTTTTTCTACGAATAATTGTGTTAATTTACTCGTAGTACATGTGCGTATCAGCAATATTTTACTAGTAATTTTACTAATAATTTTACTATTATGAATGTGAATAAATTTGTGAGTGATATATGTGAAGATGATAATGATGGAACAAACTTAAGTTGTTTTTCAGATGCAAGTGATGATTTGTATGAGCCACCGAAACTTACTGATAACTGATAAGTTTTTATATTAACTGAGAAAATAATAAAGAATTTATTTGAGTTTTTTGTCATAGGGAATTTATTGCCAATTTATTTTCAATTTTGGTACGCACTGCTGGGGTACATATATGTGCATATTTCTACCAGGGTATTCACTCTAATCCCTTATTCGGAGCTGAAATATTTTAAAATGTTTTGTTAAATCGGAAAGTACTTGCTAGAAGGCCGTAACGAAAGGGTTAATATAACATTATGTAAAAAATTTTCAAAATGAAGAAATTAAGAAGAAGAACTTTTTTTAAAATATCATTAAGTTTCAAATATTTTACTACACTTACAGCGAAGAAGCTATTTTCAATAACAAGCAAATTGTTTTGTTCATTGTACTTAATTGTTTTCCAAAATGTTTACAATTTTAAAATATTTTTTTATTAAAATCAACAAACATAGTGATCAGTGAATTATTGGCCGCACTAAAAATTCTAATTCTAGTTATTTTAATATTGTTATTGGTAAGGGTTTTCCGAAGTCTAAACTTTTCAGGAATTTAAATTTAATAACATAAGCATTTTAAGCTCAATATGTTACTATGCTGTTATCCTAAAAAAATTCATTTTTTTTTACTCTTTAATATAATATGTAAAACTTGTGTATGTTAAACATAAATTATAAAATATTTGAAATATGGGGGAAATTTTCATAAACTTTCACTTACAACCCTACATATGAATATTTATTTATAAATATATATTATGAACATTAAATATTTATGAAAAATTGGTCATTTCCCTTATTTCCTTGTCACACTTAATCATACATCTAACAGATTTTATAATATGTTTGAAATAATATTTCTCATAATAAATGAAAATTTCCTTGCATATACCCGTACCATATTTCGTATTATATAACATTTAGCTGCCTGCCTATATGCTTCTTTTATTTCCGCGAAAATATTATAAATTTTTCCATATACTTATACATATTTTATTCATGTATATATATATATGTATAACATTTTCTAAATTACAATAATGTATACAATGTTCCCAATGGTATTTTAGTAAAAAAGAAAAAAATGAGATGAAACGAATTTTATAAATAAATTATTACCGACTATTTCAAAATATCACGTTCGAATATTTTAGAAAATTATGACAAATATATTTTTATTTATTAAAATTTATTGTTTCCAAATTATATATGTATATACATATGTGTGTATATGATGTATTTATATTACAATATTAAATAATATTTTTATGAACATGTGGCGAAAATAAAAACAATGTTATTCAATTTTTATAATTGAAATTATTTGATATGATATTGAAATAGTCTAAAATTATGGCCCTTATTTGAAATTATAAAAACATTTAAACATATTTTGGATATGTTGCTGTTACCCTATGCGTTTTTACAGGTTCCTTATATTTAAAATAAAAGAATGATTTTATTGGGCAATTAAGAAAATTTTGATATTTTCATTATTTTAAAATAAGTTTCTCTTTTGAAATTCCAGGACATTAAGAAAATTTCATAAAAAAACCTCTAAATTTTAAGATTAAGCAATATTCTTTGACTTTCTAACTGGAAATCCCATTATAAAGCCTTTAAAAAATTGCTTAAATTTCGTCGTATTTTCATAATGTCCAAGGTGATTCGATAAAATTATTCAAAAAAATTACTTAAAATAAATTAAAATTTAAAATTTAGCTGAAATTTCCCGTGTTACAGCCAAAAAATTACATCTAATAATTAAAAAATTACTAGCTTATGTGATAATTGGCTGGTTAATATTATTAATGAATACCAATATTTCCTTAGGGAAATTTACTCTTTTCGCTAAATTTGGAAAGATTTCATTAAATGTATCCAACGAATTACAATAAATTGTAATATAATTGGGAGTTTACATTGAAATGGAAATAGAAAATTTTGAAGCCGTGTGTCTCTTACTTCAACAGAAATATTGCCTGTAATGCCGTCTTAAATTGGTAAATTCACCACTAATATAGTTACTGCTGCAGGAAAAGTAAACAAAATCTTCTTTGTAATTTATTGTGAAGAAGATATTCAATTAAAAATATTGAATCACCCTATGACATAAACTTTTTTTAAGTATATTAAAATAGTAGAACAAAACACATTATTTATTGTAAAATCAAATAAAATAAAAGGAGAACATTATTATAAATTTAATAGAGAGCCTCTACATTAATGTTATATGATAGCATACAAAAAATCATATTAGAATTTTTGGTTTAGAGAGGTATAACAAAGAGGGGGGTTGGAATCAGTTTTATAATGTACAAGCGTGTTAAATGTTTTGCCCTATGGCATTTCGTATATTTTAATAAAGTGAATTTTGTTATGTTGTTTTTTTTCTCTTCTTTTACAAAAAATTGAAAGGGTTGTTGGTCTTTTTGTATTATTTTTTTTTGTTATTTTTTGTTTTTACAAATAATATTCATAAATTTTTAATGTAATATTTTATTTACAATTTAAAAAAATTTTTTTTTCTGTAAATAAAAATAAAAATATCACGTTTTCCCTATGGAAAATAAAAAAGATGAAAATATGAAGAAAATTTTGCTTCCCGTTTTTTCCAATTTTTTTTTCATAATAATTTAGTACGTACTACGTTCATATGTACTTTGAATTTTTTTTTGAGTGTTATTTAAAAAATATTTTAAAAATTTTACTATATTTCATGACTTTATTTATAAAATTTTATCACACCCTTTTAAATTCCTATATTATTTTCTCCTGACTTTTCTCTCTTGTGTCTCCCACATTTTTATTTTTGTAAAATTCATGAATTTCCACATATTTATGCATATATGTGGTTTTTTATATTATCATATTTAAAATTTCATTCATATCCTGGTCTGCCAGTTCCAGTACTTATTGCTAGAAAATGAAATAATATGCATAAAAAAAAAAATTTAGAATTATGATATCTGAAATATTTGATAATAAATCGAGAATTCCGATATGTCGCAGTAAAAAAGAATAGCTGCGAAAAAATTTACATGCCAGAATTTTAATTATATGAATCATAATA